TTGATGGAGTAACATATGGGGCAGGAACTGCCAGCAGCAAAAAACTTGCCAAGAATAAAGCTGGTAATGTATTTTTTTCTTTCTCAGTACCAACTGCTGAATTGTTTGTTTGCTTTTTGTACCATTCTGGGGTTCTGAGGGCCACAGTGATTTAAGTACAGAAGAATAGGGGGTGATAATAACTCTATAATTTTAGGTCTTAAAAGCTCTATGTTACTTCTAAAATGAGACTGGAATGTTTTCCCTTTTGTAGACACTTGTGAAAAGTAATTTCTCCTTATTGTAATTAGTTATGAGGCTTTAATTATTAAGCTGAACTTGAAAAGTGTAAGAGAATAAATTTCTTACCAGAAGAAGATGCCTAACAATTTCTAGAGGTGATGTTTTCAGTTAAAATAAACCTAATCAAGATATTTAATCACTTTTTGCAGCTCGAGCTACACTGGAAATCCTTATTCCTGACTTTGTTAAACAGACCTCTGAGGAGAAGCCCAAAGACAGTCAAGAACTTGAGGTACTGAGCTCATATTCCCTGGCTGGCATCGTTTGAGTTTCTTTTTAAAACATTGCATGTTTAATATCAAAAATGTTACTGAAGATTAGTAAGATTTTTTCCTCAGTCAAATGGAAGTGTAAAACCCTCCATTTAGATCTTTAAGGCAAAGAAAATACTTCTTTTTCTGTCAGAATAGATCAAAAAATTTGCTCTGATGCAGAGAACTAGTTCTTTATTGACCAACAGGTCACTTACTGAACACCTGAGATGTTCCAAGGCACCAGACTGCCTGCACTGCCCTGCCTTCCAGAATCCTCTATTTGATGCCAGGAAACGTTCAGAGCTAGGTGCTGTTTGGTTTTGTTTGATCGTCTTAGGACATCAAGTAAGAAGTAAAAGTGCTCAGGCTTCTGAGATGTTTTTATTGCCACATAATGAAATCCCATAGTTTAGGCAGTGACATTTGAGAAAACAAAAAGAAATAATTCTTTAAGAGGAGAGTTTTGCTATAGTCTCAGGTGCTGGGAGAATTAAATAGCTCACTGATCAGTGATACCATCAGTAAGGAGTAAAGGAAAAACCAGTGATCAGCCTGAAAGGAATGTTTTCTAAAATGAAGTAATATACAGGAGGAGTTGTTTGTATCCTTGCTTTAACTCAGAGCTGTATTGTATGCCCTGCACTACTGAAATGGTAATTAAGGAAATGCTGACAATTTTTTCCATTCTTTTAAAATAAAATACCAAATGTATTTTAGTTTTTTATTTATTCAACAGTAACCAATAGCAGTTCTGTTGACTTTTATTAAACCACAGCATTTTGGTAAATAGTTTCATAATTAGTTAAAATAACCTTGTCCTGAGGGAGAAATGATGATAAAGAATTTATAAGATAGTCATTTTTATGTACATGTTGAATAATGTAAGACTGGGAGTTAAAATTTTGCACGTTTGGTTAGGTGTGAATGTTCTAATGATGTTGCTTTCAACCCATTATGGATTTAAAAACACTTTTTAAAGTACTAAGCACAGAGCAACAGAATTAATTAAATGTAGCAAAGAAGAAATTGGAGTTAAGGACAATATTAGTGTTTTATTTGCCTAAAGCACAATAACCCTTTTCACTTCCTTTGCAGTATTTTAACCATATCAGTATTGAGGACTCACGGGTATATGAACTCACCAGTAAAGCTGGACTCTTGTCTCCATATCAGATTCTCCATGAGTGCCTTAAAAGGTAAGGCTGCAGCATGAGGACCCCCGTGAGGTGTTGGCTCAGGACCTGCTGTTTGTTTGTTGCTGGTGTTTGTCAGTGACCCTGTCTGAGCTGCCTGGGCCTGCCAGAGGCGTGGTGGGGGCTGACCTGGTTAATGCTGAGTCCTCTTTAATTCATATATGCTGTTTGTGCCTCTTTGGAGATCAGGATGTAGCTGCTGTACAAATGTATTTTGTTTTCTGTCATTTTCACTTGACTCAAGTTACTGATCTAAAAAAATCTCCTTGTTAATTAATGTATTGACATTTATTATTAACATATCTAATGTCATTGCAATGACTGTCCAAGATGATAACTGTAAGCATTTGACTTGTTTGTAGTTTTACTTAGTATGATAGTAAGATCACATTGATCTTGATTGTGTTTGTGCTTAAGAAACCACGGAATGGGTGATACATCCATAAAGTTTGAAGTGATACCTGGGAAAAATCAGAAGAGCGAATATGTCATGACTTGTGGCAAGCACACAGTGAGAGGCTGGTGTAAGTACAGTAATTGGTGTGATCTCTGAATATCCTCTTCCTTTCTTCCTATTCTCCTTTGCTGTCCATTCTGAGGGTGCTTGTTCAGCCACCGAACCTGTTGTGGCCTTGTCCTGCTTTTCTCTGATATCTCAGTTTTGACTAACTCAAGTGAGTATCTGTGGCTATCATTACATAGCGTGCTGTTATTGGCACACTTCCATGGTTATTTTTACAGGCAAAAATAAAAGAGTGGGGAAGCAACTGGCTTCTCAGAAAATCCTTCAGCTACTGCATCCACATGTGAAAAACTGGGGCTCTCTCCTGCGAATGTATGGCAGAGAGAATAGCAAGCTGGTTAAACAGGTGAGCAGGCTTTTGTTTGAGTATAACCTACCCTGTGTCTGGAGTTTTGCTTCTGGATTTGTAAATTAAGTTACAACAAAACTTTAAGATGCCTGGATTTCATCGACAGTAATGATTACGTTAATCTTGCATCTCCCAGGTCAAAATTAAAGAACCCATGTAACTAACTCATGGAAGTAGGTGTTCCTGCTTAAGGAAGTAAACTAACTACAGACTAAACTACAGAAACATAGCATGCTAAACTTTGCTCCATGTACATTAATTTTTTTCATAAAAAAAGTTCATCAGTTGTTGCTTATGATTCTATTGAATAGGAAACCTCTGATAGAAGTGTGATAGAACTTCAGCAGTATGCCAAAAAGAACAAGCCAAATCTGCATATCCTGAACAAGTTACAGGAAGAAATGAAAAAACTGGCACAGGAAAGAGTGAGTATATATTTTCATGGATTTACAAACAACATGAATGTCCTGGGTCACGTGTACCAATGATCAGAGGGTTTTTGCTTCTTTTACATAGTATTTTAAATGAAGAGAGCTCTACAAAGTTTGATTGAGGTGGTCTACTTCTGGGGAAGACTGTCATCCTGTCTTTTAAACTAGCTTATAACTTTGATTGCATCTACTTCTGTATATTTATTTTTAACATTATCCCTAGTTAGCCTCTTGCAACAACTGACACAGGTTTGGCTAAAATGGTTCAGCATTTTATCTTTTATGATTCTATTCTCTTTATGACTGTGTGGTGGGGGTTTTGTATTTTTTAGGAGGAAACCCGAAAGAAACCCAAGATGACAATAGTGGAATCAGCTCAACCTGGTAGTGAACCTCTCTGTACTGTTGATGTTTAATGAGAAAACATGCAAGTGGGGAGCAATAACACAAATGGAGGAACTAGATTTTCAACAATTATTTAAAAATTGTTTGCTGCAGAATGCAAGATAACTTTTAAAATCCAAGCTGCTTCAATTATGCATTGTTCTTTTTGCATCATCAGGGCAATATTACTTTTTCCTAGTTTTCTTTTTCATTGGGTTTTTTTTCCTTGTTTAATACCTCTGAGATATGTACGTTTAAAGAATCGATCATAAAGATCTCTACTGGGGCAAATGCGCAGAGGACAGGCATGTTCACACAGGATGAAACCAATCAAGCACTTTCTCCTGGAAAGCCATCCATGTTGTTTGAAATGGATGTATTTTAAGTATGAAATTCAGAATATCTGTGTACAGGTTGAAGCTGATATTATATATATACACATTCATATATATGTATATATAAAAGAAATATATGTACATCTTCTTGTATGAACATGCCTAAAACTATTTTTGTGAAAAGTTTTGTTGCATTTCAGCACATAATAATATGCACTGATAAGACACTTTGGTGACAAATACAGGAAAGTGATGAGCAATGTTTCTAATGCCATAGGATTAGGCCAGTAACGCTGTTTCTTTCTGTTTTGTTTCTTGTCTCCTGCCAGGCTTAGTTATTTGAGATTAGAGGAAGCAGATTTTGTTATTACTTGAAAAGAACAAGAATACCTGGTAGTGTTAGGAGTAACAGGTTGAAGATTAAAAATTACTGGGGTTTATTTAAAATTAAAGGAGCCTGTGTTAGTTTACAGATCAGTTGAACAGGGAAAATATAGCCCCACTTATATAATTAAAATAAAAACTGTAATTTGAAAGGCTGTTTTCAAAGCTTGGAGCCAAAATGCAGCTGATGATGGTTGATAGTCTGAAAATATTTTGCCAATGACTTTCCACTCCCTTTTCCCAGCAATAAAACAATTTCTCATTTGTTTGGTGTCAGATTGCATCTGACTTTATCAGTTAAGTCTTAAATAATTTTCACCATAAAAGCAAAGACTTTAAAAAAAAAGTCAACACAACCCTTAAGTCTGACTGCAGCAATTGAGTTTTTTTAAAGAAATTTTTGTTTTTACTTTTTTAAATTACATTTTTAGTTTTTAAAGAAAGTGTGTAACTTCTTCAATGAAAATTAGAATGTAGATTTGGACTATGACATAGAGTAATAAGTAGAATGAAACCATAACCGGTTATACTCATGAATAAGAAAATCACAAATATGCAACTACTCTAAAATACAATCCTGGCAAACAGGCAGTACTCACTGTGTCATCTGAGGCTTTATTAAGCCAAGCACAGAAAAAATAGTGTGGCTGTGTGAAAGCGCTGCTTTGTGGGTTTCGTTCTTCACACGGGGTTTGCTGGGGGACTGCAGGAACTGTTCTCTCACAACCACGTTTTGGTTTGGTCTTAAAGAAGAGAGTGAAAGCCAAGCTGGTGGCAGAGCTGCAGTGACTTACCCAGGAGCTGCACTGCTCCGTTTTAGCACTCCTCCTGCTCCTGCAGGGAATGAAAGGTCAGTTCTCTGTACCTGCTGCAACTCCTGGTACTTACGTTGACAGGGATCTGGGGGCTTGAGGGTTTGTTTTGTTTCTTGGGCTGTTTTTTTTGTTATTGTTTATTTGCTTGGTTTTATTCTGATTTTGGTGTGGTTTTGTTTTTTTAATTTACCATATTACATAGGGAGTGCTGCAGTATATTGAATTTAGTGCCTACTGGATTTTAAAAATGTTGGCATCAGTATTGTAAGACCTCCTTTTAACATCACACATTACTTCAGAAGTATGTGGATTTTAGTTTATATTTCAAACTAATGTTCTCTAATGTGTTGCGTACAATGTTTGAGGTTAAACAGGAGGAGTCATGGAGTCTTACCTGTTTCTTTGTTTAAATTATATGCTTGGAGGTCTCTGCAAATATGAATCCACCCATTTTTTATTATTATATTTAGCTTTTTAGTTCCATGAGTTGTAATCCTGTTACAACAGGATACGGGTAGTTGGAAGACAATATAGAAACTATTATTTAAAGAAGTGGCCTGTCAAAAAAAAAAAAAAAACCTACAAAAAAAACACTGCCTCTGCTTTTTTTTGTATAGCTTTAATAAATCTCCATCTTTTGAAGGGTATATAATACTGGTGCAGTAGTGACAAGCAGCGATTGCTGTTTGTCTCTCTTTGTTGTTTTTATTGGGATTTTTCTGTTTTCATAAAGACAGGGCTTTTATCTTCTATGCCTAAATGTATTACCCTTAGATAGGTTTTATTTCAGCTTGTGTTTTCAGCAGAAAAATCTGTAGTGGATGGCACTGTAAAAGACAAATCACCCTTGTAGATCTTTCTTATTTTTCTGAAATCAGAATGTCAATGCATTTGCAGGTCACCTGCAGAATATCCATAGATGCCTCACTTACCAATTTGTTTTCATTAATTTTAAGAGGATTGCTGTATTACCTCAGTCTGCCACTATCAGAATCACAAGGTGACCATTGCCCTTAATTAAAACATCCAGAGATTTCATTGTGAACCAAAGCCTAGAACGTTTATTATGCATTCTAAACAAAACAAACATAAAAAGATGGTATTAGACCTTGCTGCAGCCTTTAACTGGAGAGATGTCCAGAAAATAGCGCAATAACTGCTGGAACAAACAACGTAACTGCTGTTTATGTCATTGTGAAGTATTCTTGTGTTTTAATGTTTACTATTGTTTGGAGTGTAACAGTCTTGCATTTGCACATAAGCACGAGCTGCTGTGATAGAGGATAGATCATTGCATTAACTTCAGCTTCTGCATGAACACTTACAGTGTGATTCAAGATGTATCCTAAACTTGTCTTGTAACTCTTGTGTGTTTTCTAGGTAATCGGCTGTAAAGGTTTAGATCTGATTGTATGAATGCATAAAACTGCTGCTTTTGTCACTGATACTTGTTATTTATCCCTTCTATATCCAGGGGAAGATGGGTATTTTTATAGGGATGGAGTGTATTTTTAAGAACTGTTCCATCCTTTGGGGATTAGACAGTTTTTGCTTTGCATATTATGTGCTTCTCGACAAAAGTGTGGTATATTAAGGATTAAATTCGTGTGCATTCAAATCTTCATGGTACTGATGGAAAACTTACTGTGACTTCCAGTGACTAGTCAGATGCTACCTACTGAAACACCAGTCATCAGCTTTTTTTAACATATTTATTAGACAAAACTGATGAATTAGTTGGGTACTCAGAACTTTGGAAAGACTATTATGCATAAAATTAACTGTTGTATGTAAACTTCCATTCTCCTGTGATGCTGTTAGGCTTTATACAAATATACTTGTAACATCCAAGTATTTAAAAGCATCGTACCTATCTTATTAATTCACTAAACTGTACTTTGGTTCTGGAGTGAGATTCAGGAAGTGATAGCCTCCTAACTTTCTGTGGGAAGAAATGTGAAATGCAAGAAGCCATGCTGTTATTAACCAAATAAAATTATCAATGACAGTATTTCAATGTGTATCTGAGAACATGGTAAAACAAAACAAAGTTCATCCTTATTGCCCCAGCAGGTAACAATGGTTGCTGTTTGAGTTGTGTTGGGTGCAGTTGCTTGGTGCCAGTGCTAAATTGGTACAACTATAAAGCCTCATTTTCACTGAGCCTCTGCTTGCTTTTTTTCTGCACAATCATGTAATCCTCTGTGTTCAGTCTTTGAGTACTTCATGTGTATTTTTCAGACAATTAGTTTCGAGCAATAAAGTTTGATATTATAAAAAGTGCCAGTGTGATCAGTATTATGATACCTTAAGCATATCTAGAGAAAGGAACTCTTATTCTTCAAGTCCTCTAGGTATTTCTGAAGAGAAATTGGATCAGTGCAGCCTCCTTCCTTATGGAAATACTGCATCACTTTTAGGTGAGGAATTGAATGTTTACATGGTTAAACACTTGGAGTGAAATTAAGTTACCTTTCTTTGAATTAGGATTTTTATTTTTACTTAAAACCCTGGCAAGGTTAAAAGTGGTACAAGCCAGTGCTGGTTTTGGTACCTGTTGGATGGAGGTACCAAACACTGGAAAGGTGTGCTATCAGCACAGCCATGGGCTGTAGAATCTTTTTATTGCTGTTAGGCCATATTAAATGTATATTTGAAGCAGGTTGAGATTTAAGATGATCACTCCTTCTAACAGTGTTGCTGTGTGTTCTGTAGCGTGGATCACAGTCCATTAATGGCAGCTGCTGAGCCTCTGGCTGCAGTGAGTCCTGACTGGAGAGCACCTGTGGAGCTCTCAAGCCTGGCTTGTCTTCACCCCCAGGAGACACACTGGCAGTGCAGCATAAGGTGCTGGTGTGGGTACAGTTCAGTTGTGGCTGTCAGTTTTCACTGGTGAGGACATGCCTCAAGCAAAGGCACCTCAGCTTCAGTAGTATGGTATAAGAAACTTAGAGCCTTTGTTGTCTTGTCAGTGATACTGATACAGTGATACAGTCTAAGACTGGCTTCAACTGTGGAATGTGCAGCATTTTTATTAGACTGAGTTTGTTACTTCCTAATGAAGATTTAGCAGGTAAATGATTTATGGGAGGGTTAATCTTTACTTGTTTACTGAAAAATCATGGTGCAGTTTTGATGGGGGAAGAGCATGATGAAGTACTGACAGGTAGGTCCAGGTCCCTGCAGTAAGATGATTTGCTCTGGGAATTGGGTGTATGTGTATGTATCTAGGCAGGAAAAGAAAAGCAGGGTTTGGCCTGATAGTACATAACATCCTGTCCCTGACAGTGTTCAAGACTAGGCTGGATGGGGCTCTGAGCAACATGGTCGAGTAGAAGGTGTCCCTGTTCATGGCAGAGGGCTGGTTATGAGATGATCATTAAGGTTCCTTCCAGCACAAACCCTTCTGGGAATCTATGGTAATGAAATTTAATTCAAATTAGGGTGATGAAATAAGTTGGAAGCCTTGCAATTACTCTGTTGTACAGAGATTTATTACCTGCACGTTACAGAAGAGATGCTACTGACGCAGTTAAAAAGGAAAAGTAGTTTCTGCCAAGTCTCTCAGGAGTTAAGGTGATCCCTCTCTTGGACTGCAGTCCCCATGGCCAGCAGCTGCCTGGCTCCCCTCCCTGGCAGCTGGGCTGGTGCCATCCTCACCCTCAGTGCCACGGGGTGCTGCTGTGATCTCACTGGCAGCAGGTGCTGCAGCTGCAGAACCGTCAGCATGTTCCACCCTCTCGAAGAAGATCAGTAACTCACAGTGCCTGGTCTGAGGGAACAGATCCACAGCCATGGCTCTCACGGGCCGGAAAGAGGCTCCTTTCACCCTGTTGGAAGGGGCTCGGCACAGGCTTGATGGGGAAGGGAAAGAAGGGCAGGAAGAAATGTATTAATATTTAAACTGCTCATCACTGCTGCTCTTCTCAGAGAGGTTTTTCTTCCCCAAGCTTCAATGCCACAATAGGTTTATTCACCACCCCTAATATTTCCATTATGACTTGTGTATTGGGCAATACCATTCCAAGCCAGCTGCTGCAGCTCCCAGCTGTTTCTGGTGAAAGGTAAGCCTCCAGGACCACAGCTTGCAAATAAAAATCCAGCAGTGGTCCCCCTCCTCAAAAACCAGTTTTCTTCCTACCATATTTAGTAAGTAAACTTAATGCAAGAAACACTCACTCCACAAAGTTACCCATTGCAGCTCTGGGATTGCAGGAGACATAGATGAGCTTCTTCAGGTGTTCAGCTCTTCGAAGGGCAAGAATTACCTTGGAATCTAGATGATCAAAACCACAACAGCTGTTCACTGGTTCTGTGTGCAGCAAGAGCCTCACAGAAAAATGCCAGGTTATACTCAGCATGAACAACACTGCTGCAATGTTGCTCCAAGCGATACCTGAAGCCTGCACTTAATTTATCCCAATGGTGTTTTCTTTGGCTCCCCACCAAGCACCCATTAAGAGAACCAACTTTAGCCCTAACTTGTGAACTTACGCAGCCCTGCTCGTGGTGGATCTACAATTGTGATCAGGTTCTGAGGAGCTAAAATGTTCATTAGGGAAGGAACAATATCTTCTGCCTTCCCACAATAAAATTCAATATTATTCAACTCTGTAAGAGAAAAAAAGATGTTATCAGAGTGCTTGTCTAGTCAAAGCAGCTTGCAGTTCTTCACCTTGGATATTAAGTTTTGATGCCTCAGAAACTCTAAATTGTTTAGTCTACCCTGGAATCTGTGTAAATTACATAATCACTGTTAACTTCAGATCATTTAAACAACAGTAATTTCAGCATCTTCCATTATCTGGACTAAAGCAAAAGCCCAGCAAAAAAACAGCTATGTTAATGTGGTTTTTTTTAAGGGGATAGCTGTGGTTTCATCTAATTTTTACACTGAAATAAGTATTTTACTTTTCAATTTAAAAAAAAAAAAAGTTCAACTGGAAAATTGATCTCATAGGTTAACAAGGTATTTGTTTTCAAGAGCAATTAAGTGTTTAATCAGGACAAGATCACTATCAACAACATGTAATTCCAGGCTGCTTAGATAAGGTAAAGAACAACTGACTGTGCAACTACTCGTTACCAAACAGGTCTCAGCATTTCACCTTAACTCACCATTAATCTGGGCGTTTGCTTTGGCATCCTGAACAGCTTCTTGGCAGAGCTCAATTCCAATTACCTTCTTCACTCGCTGTAGAATCAAAGGAAAAAGATCCCTCTGTGGTCTCATGTGTGAATTTAACCATTTTTCATAGCATCAGCAATTAACAGGGACTTCGACTACTACCTAGGCTGCTCTATACAAGGGTGAGATTTTATAATGATGTGGTAAAGGAGCTTCAGGCAATTCAATTACAAATTAATTTTAAAAATTAAGATATAATCTGTTGCATTTCACATACATTAACTACTTTCTTCCCTTGTAGCCACAGTTAAAAATAGGTAAAAAGTAGCTTCTATCTAGGAAGAGAAATTGCCAACCTTTGCTAAAGAAATCCCAATGGTTCCTGTCCCACAACAGATGTCCAGCACGGTGCTCTCTTGGCTCAGTTGTGCCCACTCCCCAATGACAGTGTACAACACTTCTGCAGCTTGTGTGTTCACCTGGGAAATTAAGTTTCCAATAGATCTACTTCTTCATAAACAGTAAATATGTTTTAATGAGTCTTAGTAAAGCATGTTTTCTTGTTTCTAAAAAACAAACCATTATACATTAAAAACACATCTTAAAGTTTTGGAAGGGCAGAAACAAGTTTTGGAAAAGCAAACAAAAATTAGTAATACAAGACTCCTGTACTGTATTTTTGCATGTCCAGTGCTACAAAAGGCTGCCATTAAACAGGAGGAAAAATCATAATGAACTAGTAAACAGAAAAAGTTGTCTTCCATGTGCTCCCATCAAGCTTACAGTGCTTTTACAGCCAAACATAATATTTACTGCTATTTAATCACACCAAATATATAAAAGGTTAAATTTCTAGGTATGGAACATCTTGTTTCACAGCATTAGTCAAGCTGTGGAACAAGAGCATTCATGCAGATCCAGTTAAATGAGAAGCTTCACATCACCCTTACTTGAAAAAATGCATGAGGAGAAATTCTAAATTTTAAGCCGAGGAGTTCTTCATATATGTACTTATCACCAGCCACATGCTCCAAAGGCAAGTCCTCTAGATTGGGAGATTTCCTGTTGGCAGGGGAGGAAGAGGGAGACAAAACCAAAAAAAGAAGACAAACATGTTTGTTACAATCTTCACCAAAGCTGTAATCATCCTAAGAACTGTAGTGCTACATCCTAAGCAGTAACATTTATCATGTGCTCATGGAGGCTCTCCTTGGCCGTTAATGTCTCAGGGTGGAAGGACCTCCACCATCTCTAGATGAAGATGGTGTGAGTCTTGTGCTCTATGGAGGATGGGGAGATTGAAAAATTCACATAAATAGGGAAGAAAGGCAGAAATAGCTTGATATTAACAAACATTCATCTACTGCAGTAAACACTTCTATAGCTTGACAGTCAGCTGTGGTCAGTGGGTTCACCCACTCAAACTCTTGTTGCATGAATGAACTTCAAAGAATGGGAAATTTCAGGAGTCTCTTGTGGAAAAGGTGAATAACTCCAACAAATTAGTAACAACTGCTGCTACTTCTATGAAGCAGACAAAACAATGCTATGAAATTTGCAAACACAAAAAATTCAGCCACCACCAAAATGCCAAAGCAAAGGCAACTCCCTCACCTTTGTCCTTCCTCCACAAAGTACAGGGAAGTAACACCACTACTCTTTCCCATCCCTTCTGTGAAGTATTTTGCCAGAGAGATTTTCAGGTCAGCTAGTTCTTCTTTATTCAATTTCTAAAGTTTTCATGTGAAAAAAGGGAGAATAACTGTTTTAGTGACTTCAAGATATGATTTACTGTATGATTTACAGAAGAATATTGTTCATATCCATGTATTAGATTAGCCTAAGTAGAATTAGAGCAATGAAGCAAGGTAAACCACACCAAATAATTACTCTATTTCTCTTTTGTATGCACAATTCATAACTCAAATTTAAGTAGTTCTAAAGCTGTGAGTCTGGGCTGCTCATTACATATCAAGTGAAATACCTGAGGATTGAAATAAGCAATTGCCATGATGTGGCCGTTGCGGCTGGTGCGCACCGTGAGCTGTTTCCAGTGCCCTTCGTAGGTTTCGGGGCTGTACACAGAGTAAGGAGTTGACCTGCAGTTTGCAGAAGATCAGTTACTTATACAAAGAATTCTTTTTTTTGTGTAACCTTAAACAGTGCATTGAATCAAAAGAAGGTCACTGTACGAAGCGATGGAAAAAACACTGACTACAAAGAGGGTACATTGATTTGTCAAAAAAAGAATGACTTCCAGCTAAGAAAGACTGATGGATTTAGTATCTCCTAAAGCAAAATGATCTGTCCCTCCTTCTCAAAATCCTCTTACCCATTTTAACACATGCAAAATTACAGAGGCAAGAGGCAGCTTCTCACTTCATTCAGAGATTGACATAACTTTTTATAATGCTTTCATTAGCTTCTCTGCTTCATATCAAGTTCAAATCTTCCATTTTCATGATCCTTCTGAGGTTTCCATTTTTGTGGATTTAACTGCTTTTTAAAGAATGCATTTTCTAAAGAAGTACTCTTGCTTAAATGTGCAACTTTTGGTTTATTCCTTTCTGTAGGATGATTCTTCTCATCCAAGGAAGCAGTGGACCTTGGTTAATTAATTATGGCTTTCAGAAGTGTTTTTCTGAGTGCTTCTTTGCAATTAGTGGAAAAGCTCCTGCGCAACAGACACTTTTTACTGCATACTTACACATCCCATTGCTTGCAATAAAGCTGTGTTCAGCTGGTACCTGTCCCCACCTCTGAGCAGCTGAGCAGAAGCAAGGGAAAAAGTTCCCATGATCCAGGCACAAGGTGGAAACAGAATCACTAAAATTTGAGACTGGTATATCTTAGATCTTAAAGCTCAGAACAAACACTAATTAAATGTATAAATATTTTTGATTAAGATATCAAAACCTTTATGCATAACTCATTTTACTTATGCTCACCTTATGTAGTCTTGGAAAGCTTTTACTACTTTTTTGGCAATAGCAGGAATGTGAATAGTATCAAATGGCTCCACTACAGCACATGTACCACCCTTATATTTGCCAAGACGACAACCCACAGTTTTGTCTTCTTGATTTACACCAATCCCAATCAAGAACTCACATTTGTTGCGATATTCAGTCTAGATTTAAAATAAAGTTATGTAAGATATTTACACAGCATTTATTTGTACATGCCAAGTTTCTCCTGAAACAAATCCCATGTGGTTAAAATCATCTGAAAATGAACCCAGGACATTTAGCTCATATGGAAGATACTCATGGATTTTGATGTGTGTGAACTAAGAGGAATAATGAAAATGTATTAGTAAATCTTGTTATTTAAAAAGCAAAATATTGCCTCTGTTGAGGAATGTATTAGCTTACAACACAGGCTTACAAGGACAGCTTATTAATTTTAAAGTTATAATATCCAGTTATCCATTTTTCTGCTTCCTGTTAATATTTCCACACAGTATTTGCATTAAAGGCAACAACATCTAAAATCCATCATTTATTATAAGATGAAGTTGAATACTCAGTTTGTCCACTGCCTCTCAAGACCAAATAATGAACATAACCCTCCAGTTATCCATTTTTCTGCTTCCTGTTAATATTTCCACACAGTATTTACATTAAGGGCAACAACATCTAAAATTCATCATTTATTATAAGATGAAGTTGAATACTCCGTTTGTCCACTGCCTCTCAAGACCAAATAATGAACATAACCCTCAGCTCATTAACTCTGTTCCGCACTTTACCTGAGATTACATTACCTGTAAGGGTGATGCTTTCACTCCCTCCACTGGGCAACATAATTTATTAAACTTCTGTTTCTGCAGGAACAACCACGGTAATAAAGTTCTGTTGTTATTTCCTATTTCCCTATCCAAATCAGAAACAAAAAGTGTAAAGCACGCATTTAGAAAAATTGAGTTCAAGAGTTGCACAAGGCTTCTTTTTCCTATAGGGCACAAAAAAAGAATCAGATTGTCACATGGAAGAGTGTTTCTTCCAGATTTTTTTTAACAAGCAAATCCTCTCCAACTTCATAAGAGCTGTAACCTGAAAAAGTAAGGGTTAAATGTAGTTATAATGGTTATGTACTGGATTTATCAATGTACCCACATAAGAGAATTAGCACCAGTTTTATCCAAGGCAAGAGACAGAAGTAATACTTTGATCTCCAAAGACCAGGCATAATATTATGAGGGGATTTTAAAAGAGAAAATCGTAGTAGTAAATTGCCATCTCTACAAATTGATTCTCTCTTACACCATGTGACAATGACATTTTTTTTGCAGGCACATAGATCCTTCTGCTTCTGGAACAAGAGATTTTAAAACCAAGCTCCCTTCATTAATCAATCTTTTGAAGGTGACCAAGAACATCAATAGCAGGTTTTGTCCGATGGAACAGCTTTTAGGCTGTAGCATCACAGATCATCTTGTAATTACTTTGACAGGGGATCGAGTTTTGACCTACCTCTAACTCACTTCAGTTTAGAGGTATCAATTGATGTCAATTTAGCTATATCCCATCACAAGGCCAAGTCTCGTACACATTACGTTACAAACAGGAATTACTTTGTTAACTTCTGCAGCACTTGTTCGCACTCCTGCTTCTTCTGGGCCAGCTGCTCCTCGTAGGGCACGTTCCACAGCGGGGTCACCACATCCGCGATCCGCTTACTCAGAGGCTCCTCTCCGCAGGGAGCCGGACGCTTCGCCTCTCCCTGCTCCGAATCCTCCTCTTGCTTCCTCTTCTTGGCGATGGGGTCGGCTTTGGGCTTGGCCAGGCGCACGCTGAGGTGGCGGCTCTTCCAGAGCGCGCCGTGCAGCACCCGCATGGCCTTGTCCCGCTCCTCCTCGCTCTTGAACGTCACGAAAGCGAACGTCTGCTTTCCGAAAAGTTTTATCTTGTGAGGATTGAGCCCGTACTTGGCAAGGAACTTTTTCACATCGTTAAACCCAATGTATTTGGGCAGGTTCTGTATCTCTACTTTATAGATCTCGGAGGTGAACAAGTCTCCCTTAATGTATCTGTACACGTCGGGGCTATCCGCGAGGTCTTCCCCGGCCTGGCTGTCCGGCTCAGTCCCATCTCCAGCCTCCGCCACGGGAGCCGTGTCGCGGTCGGGGTCGCAGCGCTCACCTTCCTCCGCCATGGTCCCGCCAGCCCCTCCGCCACCCCGCACACCTCCCGGGGCGGGGCCGTAGCCTCACGGACGGGCCGCTGCGGGGAGAATGACGGCAGAGAAATCACTTG